CGTTCCAGTGACTGAGGGGTTGTGCAGTGACAACGAAGACATCTGTACTTAGTAATGATTTCATGCATTTGGCATCAGTCAGAAACCATTAGCCAAACTCGGTGTTGATCATAAGCAATGACTCCACGGCTGCTGAACGATGGGACTGCTCAGTTTTCAGAATAATTTATGTAAACATGTGATCTGTACAGGAAATGAAAGTGCGTTACCACTCATTAAAGCAGAACTCTGGACAAAAATGTTCTTACACCTTGCACTATAGCTACCCCCGCACTGTAAGGGTTAAGTGCTCATTTTTGTCTAGGTGCTAAAAAAAAAAAAAAAGAAGGTTATACACACCTGAACCTCGGAGCTGGCTGGCTGCTACTTTGGTCCCTGAAGCTTATCTTCTACTCTGCTGCAGTGATGGCATGTCCCTCGGCGACCTCACGTCTTATACACAATGTATAGAGCTCTTCTCCCAAGAGCCAACTGCTTGCATCGGGGCTGAGGGCTGTTGAATGGAGTTCTGAGGCAACATGCTGTGGTGTTTCCAGGAAACAATGTACAGCACCCAGCCCTCCCACCAGCCTTGAATGGCCGGCATTGCATAGAGAAGCACAGGTATGCAGTGATGATATGATTCAGTGTAAAATAAAGCTTGTAATGAAAACAGAAAGGCTTTATTTATATTTATAAAAAAATAATTGGCAAGAGGGAGTAAGCAGGTAAGGCAGGAAAAACCTCAGCTTTAAAAGCAGAACTATGTGGTGAGTGAAAATCACTCATCCTCATAGTTTGAGCCGACGTGTGAGAATGAACATACCATTGCTCATCTCCCTGCAGAGAGCCGTGACTGTCAGTCACCGTTCCCCGCAGGGATCCCCCCTCCCCTCTCCGATCCTCCAGCGCTGACTGGCGGAACGGACGGGGGTGGGGCGGGTACAGCTGGCTCCGCATCTAGATAGGCAGAGTCAGCTGTCACTCATGCAGCTGGGTGGATCCAGACAGTAATGTCGGGATCCATCCCGACTGCAGTGGTCTCAGTATACCGCAAGCTGTAGCTCCCGATATATTGAGCTTTGGGTCATGGAAGGACGCTAGTATATGTCCTACCGTGCCCACTAAGAGAACTATGGGGAAAAACACTTACCCCATAGTTCTCTTTTAAATCTAAAAGTATAGAAAGTTTGGAATTTAAGTGATGTCCTTTTGGCCAACGTAAAGTTGTATCAAACTCTCAAACTGTATTTCAATAGTAAATCCAGATTAAACAAAGTATTTCATTAAATTTTTTTCCCCAAGCACTTACAGTCATCATGTTTCCAAACAGCTCCAACTCTCCCAGCTTAGCTTCCCTGAACTGCCTGTGCAATACAAGATCAGAAGGGACAGAGCCATCTCCAGCATCCATCCATCTACTAGCTTATAGAAAAGAGGAGGGAGGAGTGGGGAGTGGATTGCCTTGCTGTGACTGTGTGTTTGTGAAGACACACACAGCTTACTAGCACACACAAGGGTGGCGCCATAGGAAAGAAGTCACCCTAAGCCCTCGTTCACAACTGAACGTCTTGTAGCGCGTTCTACGCTCGATGAACACCCTACAAAACGCTCAAAAATATAAATCCCATTGTATTCAATGGTCTCGTTCCCACCTTGGCCTATTTCCGCCCGTCCCTAACGCGCTACAAAACGGCCCACGCCTGAAAAGGTACAGGTACTACTTTGGGCCGTTTTGTTGCGTGTTTCCATTGGGATACAGCCAAGTAGCCTTCGGAAACGCGCGAATCGCGGTAAAAAAACGTGCGACAGACGCACATATACAATACGCCTAGGTGTGAACGAGATCTTAAACAGGATATCAGGACCAGTGCTCAAGGGACCAGCTGATTCTGCAGGAAACTAAAACTTTGAAACATCAAGGAGTAGCGTCCATTGGAAGTGACTTCATCGGCATTTCAAATGGCTTAAAAACCTTTTGACTTTGATATCACTTTAGTAAAGATGCAAGCTTTTGAAATTCCTTAGATCCTTTCGTCAGACTTTTGCATTGTTGCATTGAAAGAAATCATTAAAAATCTACATTATGTCAAAGAAATGTTCTGGAGTTAATGAAAGCTGAAAAATATAAAACAAACTTTATGCCCAACAGTGCATTCAAAACCACACTGCCGGCACAAGTGTTCTTGCTGTCAAGTTACTGCTGATTTTTGTGTTTAAATCGGAAATTCTTTTAAAACATTGAACTTGAGAAAGTCCAGAGGAGGGCAACAAAATGAATAATGGGGCTGGAGGACCCAAGCTATGAGGGACGACTACACAAATAACATATTCACTGTGGAGAAGAGGCAATGAATCCTTTTGCTGCCAACGATGTATGTCATGCGTCGGTGGCAGCGCGCCCCTTTGAATAGACGCAGGAATTCTGTTTTCATTTGTAATGCCGACTGTCGGCTTTACAATGGAAGTGATTCCAGCGGCTCAGCTGCCACCAGGTCACTTCCAGGGGCCGATCTCCTCCCCGCTCTATGGGATTGTAAGCGATGCCGATTGCATTACTTCTGGTCCCGTAGCTGTTACTGCTCGGCTACAGAAGCCGACCATTAACCTATTGGAGTGCGATCTGCACTCCAATAGCTTATTTAGATTGGAAAGGTGACACTGGGGGTCTTTTGGACCCCTAGTGTCACCTTGAAGACTACCTGTCACTACTAATATTCTTTCACATAGGGGGCTTGTAAGACATAGAAAATGTTTTGGAATAAAGTGTATGAAATAAAATAAATGTAAATATAATTTAAAAAAAGGTTTACAGTCCCCCGCAAAGGCACGCGCCTTAACACAAACACACATTGGTCGCACGAAGAGTGAGACCATTCATTCTAGGCCCAATATTCATGGATCTCTCTAAACTGATGACCTGTAAGGGCTTTTTTACAGCGTTACCTATGGACAATTAAGTTACCATATTTTGTCGCCGTTTCATGGATGCACGCAATTTTTTACCTAGGCATGTTGGGTATCAATTTACTCGTTGTAACCTCATCTTTTATATTTTCCAAAAAATGGGTATTATATTGTGTTTTTGGGCACTGAAACTACCTTAAGTGCATTTTTTTACTACATTTTTGGGTTTGGTAAAGAATTGCACTAATACTGTGCACTGTAAACATTTGCAACTGACCTTATTTTATTCTACAGGTCCTTTGCTTTCAGAAAATATATAATGTTTGGGGGGTTTGAAGTAAAATTCAGGCCTACAATGTGTATTATATTGTGTGTAAAAGAGGGAAAATAAATAAAAGGCATTGGGTTAAGAGGGGATATGATGCAATATAAACAGGGGGGAACTTATGAACGTATTAGCAACAAAGTGTTTAGTCACAAAGACCAAAATGTCATACTAACTAATCGCAGAGCTTTATTTCTGTTCGGAATCTTTTTTAAGTGTTCGTGTGTGTGTGTGCGTGCGTGCGTGCGTGCGTGCGACTAAGAACTCCTATACTCCCGTATATTGTATTCACTAAAGAAAACTACTAGAAGTTTTTAAAATGTGTCTATACTCTCAGCTAATACCACCACCTGGGGATGGGAGTTTCACAACTTCACTGCTGTAGGCCTCATTCACGCGAGTAACAGCCGGCCCATACAGATCCATTCTGCGTGCATGGCCGTATCGGGCCGCTCCCGAAGGACAGGTGCTGCGTGTCATTTGTACACAGCAGCCTCTTCTTCTCTATGGGAGTACGTGGTAGTACGCCGCCGTACGCTCACCCGAACTGCATGTCTGTGCGGGTGTTCCTGCTCTGACGCAGACAGGATCCATCCCGTCAGCGTACGAGAATGGACACCCGCACGGCCGCGCAGTTCGGGTGAGCGCACGGCCGCGTACACCCATGGAGAAGAACAGGCTGCTGGGTACAAATCACACAATAAAGAATCCTCTATCCTGTTGGATAGGGATGCACCGATACCACTTTTATAAGACCGAGTACCGATACTTTTGATCAAGTACTCGCAGATACCAATTACCGATACTTTTTCTTAAAGGGACAGGTCACATTTTTTCTAAAGCAATACAAACTAATGCTTTAAGGTCACTTTCTTAATATTATGATTCATGAGATGACGAGGGAGCATGACGCCGGCTTCCCGGCCAATCAGAATGCCGGGCGCTGCGTCATTACACGGAGCCCGGCTTCCGGATTTGCTAGCTTCCTGACCAATCGGGAAGCCGGGCAGCGCGTCATTGCACGCTACCCGGCTTCCTGATTGGCCGGGAAGTCGGCTCCATGCTCTCTCATCACAAGTGACGAGAGAGCATAGAGCCGTTTCCTGGCCAATCAGGAAACCGGGCAGCGTGTAATGATGCGCTGCCCGGCTTCCTGATACAGGAAGTACTCGTGCTAGGTATCGGAGCATTTGGGCGAGTACAAGTACTCACCCAAATACTCGGTATCGGCACCGATACCGATACTAGTATCGGCATCGGTGCATCCCTACTGTTGGAGATAAAACCTCTTTTCCTCCAATCTCAGGTGGTGGCCCCTTGTCCTCTTTAGGGACCTTAAGAGTACACAGTTTTATTTTCTCAACTGAAAAAGGCTGCAAGACAACAGCACTGGTGACCTTCTAAAAGGCAGCAAAACGGGGAATCTGCATCATCGACAAGCCTGACAACTGCCTCCATAATAGTCAAATTATCGTAAGTAAATGTGATAGGTAAATAAAATGGTCACTTTGCTGTGTGCAGCATTTAGCTTGCACTTTATTCATTTCAGATGCTGCCTGAATTCCCCCTCCTGCCTGCTCAGATGAACATGGAGGAGAAATCAAGTACAAATGTATATTTAAAAAGAACAAATGTATACCTGGCACACATGTACATGCCTTTAACAGGAATTTTTCAGAAGAACAGTATATTAGGGCTCCCCACAGCTGACAGGCATAGGAAACTCAACGTTTGCTAATATTCTATATAGTACAGAGGACTTTGTGAATGGTATGGACATGGACATTACCTTTGAAGCCATCCTCATAAAGAGTTTATTCTGGTCTTCAGCTGTTCCCATCTTTTCTCTCTTCACCATATCGTGGAGACTCTGGTTGTCATCGTCATGAAAATAGCGAACCCGTTCTTTATCGACATGCGTCTCTAGCTGCAACACACAGACAGACATACTGAATAATACAGGCAGAAAACCTATTCTATTCAATCAGTATTTAAGAGAGGCACTCCTGCTACTACAGGTGACATTTTCTCCAACCTACTTTGTAAATATAAAGTAAAATATAATTCAGAAGATTTTACCATAAGGCTGCTAATGAGCTTAGATACAAACGACACATTTACATGCAAGAATTAAAAATCAAGGGGATTTATTCCTCATTTAAGGATTATACCCAGAACCACTTAAATCACTTCGTATTGTGGCCAATTGTGCTTCCATAATAGCTAGTTTTCTGTACATATACAGCCTAGTATTACAGAGGCAGTTAACCATTTATTTAAACTTTAGCCTAGCCGTTTCAGCCGTCCTAGCCTCGTTAGCCCATATTGCTGCAAGGGGCAGGCACTACATAGTAGGGCTTGGGTCAGCCGCAAACATTTTACAAAAATTATGGTGCGGGCAAGGCCTTCCCTATAACAGTCAGCCTGAGGCGGTTTCCTCAGGCGGCACTTCATTGGGGGCAGTCGGGTGCTGGGGGGATAAGCAGTCACAGCGTGTCAGGTTGCCAAGGGCAAACTGGGACACTCTGTGCGGCTTACCGCCCAGCTCACGGCAATTGGTGACATCAGTGAGCCAGGCGGAAATCCAGACAGAGCTGCTGACAGAAAAGTCCGGTGTTTGTCTCCCCTTCCTCAAACACAAATCAGTGTGTACGCCCCCCTCCCCTTTCCCTTAGGGAAAGCCCTATATAAGGGAGACAAGGGATATAACCATAAAGCCCCTATTAAAATAGTATAGGCTCAATACACAAAGCTAGCACACCAGGATAAGCATTCTTATTTTCTAAAAAAGTGAGAGTTATTTTCAGGTCCAATGAGATTTAAAAATTACTGTTACACGACTAAAATAAACATCCTTATCCTTGTGTGAAAGCATTGGGAATCGACCATATGTACCTGTTATATGACCATCAGTGATAAACCTGGGCTTGGTGCAAATTCAGTTAACCGGAGTTCTCCCAAGCCCACTCAAAACTCTGCGCCCTCCTGCCTCTTGACCTATTCAGCTGTAAGGAAGCAAATTCCTCCCTTGTAGCTATAAGTCACAAAGAGCCAGGGAAGGCCGCCGCTGCCAGAGAGAGTGGTGGTCAGACTTTTGAGTGTGCTTGGGTGAAATGGGTTCACACCAAGCCAAGGCTCATCTCTAAATCACCACCTTCTTAAAACGGATCCAATTGGGATATTGAATTCAGCGTGGGGCATGACATAAAACAGGTGACTGCAAAAAAATCTATGGAAATCTATGCAAGTAAAAAGCTTCACGAGACGATAAAGAGAAGACAACTCGCCTCTGCAATTAGAAAGACGAGTGTCCATCATGAGCAACTGCTCCTTTGTCCACACTGCTATTGTTGCAGTTTCCTGCTAGGCCCTATGTACTTGAATATCAGATCACCGTGCCTCTAACTTGCACCATCCTAACGCTTGTGCCCTAAGAGGTTGGAGCCATAAGAGGTTGGGGACCCAGAGCAGCAGTTACACATCTGTCTGTGCTCCATATAGCAGAACAAAGGAACTATAAAATGTGAGGATCACAAAGTGTACCTTCATTGATGAGCCCTCAATGAATGGATTTCTATGTTAACTTGAAATGACAAAGATGGGCTGTAGAAACCCAGTGAAGCCAGAGAGCAACTTGGCAGCAAGAAAAATTTGGTGGTAATATCCCCATATAATATCTCTAGCTTTCTGTAATGATGCACTGCATCACCAGGCAAAATTATATCCTTAATATTGCATGCATCAGAATCTCTACATTCCGGTCATGCTGATGAGTCTATTTCCCACGAGAGGAAACTTAAATGAAAATGCCCTCCAACAAACTGAACATTAATATGAGCCGGTTATATTAATACAGAGTGTGAATTGAAAAGTTAATTTAGATTCCCTTCCTCTGCCTCTGAATCCAATCATCCCCGCAGCTCGTGCTTCCAGGTCTGTGTGTGCTTTTTGGACTGTGGGGACTATTGAGGGCTGGCTGCTGCCACCGCAGTGATGCATTAGGTGTGAAGAGCCACTGTGTCATGGAAGATAAACCATACAGCATAAAGAGAGCTCCCCACAAGAACTGAGACGCTGGCTGATCTGATTCATCACCATGATGATCTTTTATAGCCTACGGGGAAGTGCCAGAAACAGTCAAGGAAAACCGGGAAAATTATTTTACACTAATGGTTGATTCATCAATGTGAACTCCTAACAGATAAAATGATACACATTATTACAGCTCTGTATTCAGTTATACATGAATACATTTATATTTTAAATGCATGCAGTGAAATTACCTGTATTTGACCTAATGTCGGCCTCTTGCAACCCCTTTGCAGCTTAGGAGAGAGAAAATCTGCACATGCTGCAGTACTCATGTGCTACCAAGTGAGTGGTGGGGCAAGTCTTGTAAGAGTTTCTTAACTGCAGAAGAGAAAAATCAGGTCCCTGACCTGCATGGCTGCTGTATAAATCTAACAGGTGGATGGACACAAATACAAATCCTTTGGCAGGTAAAATGTCTCACATATATGTATTTATCCGTGTGTTCAGCTGTTTGCCTGAAGCTTAGCTTAACAATGGATAGATTGGGACTTGGGGGTGCTCAGTAAAATAAACAGTGTGCTTACAGCGTATCTAAGACCAAGATCAAGATCAAAATTTTATATACTGCAGCTCCCCAATCCTTAGATGTGGTGGCTGCATTAGTTTGACCAAACTGTCCAGCAAAAGTGGCAGATAGAGGCCTGAGACAAACCATTGAACACGAACACTGACAGGGGTGCTAACAATGGTCAGCTTTTATTCATTTAAAAAAAAAAAACACATTAATTTCATAAGGACAACTAAAAACTGTTGCTGTAGCAGCCTACAAAGTGTTAGTTGGCACGCAGATTTAAATTGTTAGTCAAATCCATCTGAATCTGCTCGTACTTCTATAACACTGACTTCTCCACAGACTGACAGTGCTGGTATCTAAGGATGGCTCCATTGCTCCTCCATAGATTGGAGCCACCCTGAGACAGGAAGTGTGTAAATCGTACGATTTTCGTACGGCAGCCCCATCCTGCCCCGATGATCGCAAGATTAATTTAGACGTAATTAACGAAAAGCATTTTCGTCAGCGCAAGCGCAGTGTTGACCGTACGACTTTTGATGGACGGAAACGCCAGCAACCTTACGACAATCGTACGATCTAGCAAAGTTTTCAAACATGCTTGACCGGCAAAAGTCGTACGATTGTACAGTACTGTCGGTCGGACACTGCAATGCACACATACGATTATCGGACGAAAAGTCGATCGCATACGAAAATCATCCGATAATCGTAAGGTGTATGGGCACCTTTACTGGCTGGATCACAAGCTGAAAATAAAGGAAAAATGTCTGGAGAAAAAAACAAACAAAAAAAAACCTAATACAGCACCACATCCAAGGACTGGTGAGCTGCACGATATTACATTTCTGTTTTTGGGTTTAAATAAACTTTAAAGCATATGTCAAAACAAAATAAAAATATAAAAATGCAGTACTGTATATCTCTGCAATTCATGCACATTTTCCTGTCTTTTATCCTGTGCAAGTAGCAAAAAATATTGATCTGCCAGAAATGTACTCAGCTCCTGTTACGTTGTTCTGTGGGCTGATAACACATCGTTTTTGGTGGAATGAGTGATGTCAGCCATGCCCAATGTCTAAACTACTCAACTACACCTACTCTCAGATCTCCACAACATAAGGGATCATTATTGTGCTGTCCGAGATGAGAACTAGAAGGGCTCTTTGAAATAACATAGGAATTGTGAACAGATCGAAATTGCTGAGAAGATAAACAAGTTTTTTTTTCTGCATCAGATATAACAAAATGCTTCCAATGGTATATTAAACAGACCAAAAGGGAACAAATAAGAGGTGTTCATTGTTTACATGCACTTGGAGGTAAAATAAGCTGCCCAAGGACAGTAAGAAATTGTGGCTTTCAGAGTTAATGCTACCAACAGGCTTCATATTGATCAATAAACATGCATGTCACATCAGGTTTGTTCCTATGTAGGGGGAAGAGATGAACTGTGCAGAGGTCAATAATGCTGGACCATCATGGGGAAAAAATAATAGCCAGCTGGGAAAATACAACCCTGTCCCCTGCCATAGTGAGGAAAGTCCACAGGCATAGTCTGTAATGGGAACCTTAAGGTTGTATGTTTGATTTGCACCAGGATCCTATCAATATTAGCACATTTTCTATGTACCGGTCTAGAATCGCCTCACTTTCTCCATAAATTAAAAACATACCGATAGGTATTGGTATAAAAGTTGCAGATAAAAGGTATAAAGTGCAGGCAACATATCTGCTGCTACTTCTAAATCCCCTGCTGTTACAGCTAAATTCCCAGCTGTTCTGCCAGGCAATGCTCAAACTATGGGGTAGTGTCGGAACCTGCCACCACTTCTGCTCCCACTCATTTCTACTGGTTCATCACTAGGATGAGTTGCGTCACTGGCCAAAAAAGCAAAGTTTGGAAGGTTGCAGCAGATATATGTAGGCATTGCTAGGTACCTGCTCTTTATACTTGCACCAAGTTGTTTTTTTTGAAGATATATTCTCTTTAACATCTGTCTACAGCAGGGACGTGCGGTCAGGGGAGGCAGAGCCTCACCTAGTATTATGGAGGAAAAAGCCGTCAGCTCCAGTCTAAAGCCGACGGCTTTGTTACACAGCAGTGGCATGTTACAGAACAGGGAAAGCCTCCCCGCTATGTAACTTGTCATGGACAGAGTGCTGCCTGTTAATTACAGGCAGCATTGCATCCGGCTTTTGACAGGTAAGGCAAAGACCAATAAGGCAAAGACCAATACACACACAGCATCCAATAAGAAATGATCTTTCATGGATCCAACTGCACTAAACATGAAACATAAACATGATGAAATCTGTTTTGTGCACTTAGCATTATTTTATTATCTTATTTGCTGTAGGTTCTTCTGTAACAGAACATGCAGCATTAAAAATATAAAGAAATACAATATTATTTACGTTTGGTCTCTTTCTCCTTCCTCCCTTTGGTTCTACTGGTTCCCCAGAAGAGTTCACAGGCCAAGCTCTGCCTGACTGATCCGTCCTGACAAGGAGAACCTCTTGATCTTCTCTTGAGCTCAAGTCCTATAAAAAAACATAAAACAAAATGTAAATTGAAAAAAATAAACAGTTTATTGCAGTCATAATGTGTTTCAGTACCACATCATGCTTTAGCTTCACAGGTTGAGCCTACATAATCAAGCCCCTTTTTTTTTTTTAAAGGAAACCTATACCGAGACAAATAATGGGGGGTTCCTTTACTGTCACTGGTGTCAGTACTTCATTACATACTGACCCCTAACACGTATCCACCCTTTAAAGACAGAATTCCTAATTTGCAATACTGGTTTCAGGTCAGTGAGAAATAACTGAATCCATCAGACAGCCAGACAACAAGCATTTTTAGGACGTCAGTTTTGGCAATTTCCATATTTTCTCAATAAAGCAAGTTGGTCTTTAGTGAAAACCACAAGTCAAAACAATCCATAAATTTAGTGATACAGGCAACTGAAGTTATATGTAAATTTAAATGTTTCCCTTTATGGTCGAGCTTCACTTTGCCTCTTGACAATTCCAAGCCTCCTTGTTGGCTAGTGAGATCACCTAGTTTCAGACTTTGGGTATGCAGTATACATCCAAAAAAGCGTCACCGTCAAGGTGTACAACGTGTTCCTACCCACCAACTTCTGCTTTCTTCACTGGTATTGTCTGCAAATCTGCCAAACTTGCTTTGTATTACAGTAGCACTTTAAAGAGTGTCCAAACACTGATCAGAAGCTTGATTGAGAAAAATTATGTAACATAGTGCTACATAGTGCAAAAAGAAACATACAGGCAGCCATACCGTACCAGGCCCAGGCTCCATCTCGTGAGCAGGGAGACCTGGTCAGTATGGGCTACTTGTGGGGAAAGACCAGAGGAGCCTATCCATCAAAACAGTGTCCATGGTGATCTGGTAGAATCGGCCACTGGCAGGCCTATCGTGGTCCTGTCTGGAGTGTGCTTTATAGCCCACAGGAGGGAAAGAGTGACATTTTCAGGCTGCCTCTTCTGGAGCAGGATGTAAGCTGCTAAGCACAGTGCCACAAGCTAGAGGTGTTGCTCAGGTTTATGGAAATTGGATTGGTACACTCTCTCTGCTCGCTCTCTCTTCTCCCCCTACCTTCTTCTCTCCCCCATTTGTCTATCTCTATACACACACACACATACATACATACATACATACATACAGTACCGTAAAAAGCTGTAGAACAAACATTTTGTTTTATGTAATCTATATTTTTGACCGAACAGTCTGCCATACCTGCTTTTGCCAGAGTAAGTCTACCTTCCAAATGTCTTTTATTAGTGCACGCAATGACACCTTAGCTTATTTTCTATTTCTCTAAAGGAAAGACCTTCATTTTTAATGGTCTGTCTTCCTTTGTTAATTGCCTTTTTCTCACCATTGCTCACCAGAGGGTGCAGTAAAACCATTTGTTCCAACACAGCTTTCGTACAGATAGGATTAATAAAGTAATAAATAAAAGCTTGGACACCTGTAAAAAATGTTTCCCTCAACTTTCAAGACAATTTGAAGGTCTTGTTGAATAACTCTGAAATGTATACTATTTTCCAGTAACCTAAAACATTTTATTTAACATCTAGCAGTTTACCAATTATATACATACGCACGTCATTCAAGAAAAGCAACACCAAACGCTTGGCGTCATACAATTATGTTCATTATACCAAGTGGTATATACACCCCCTAGGCTCCTTGATCTGACGCATGTTGCTGATACACTGTGCTTAATCATTGACTAATCTTGCCCTAATCCCTATGATAGTAACGATAAAACAGATGCAAAATGTTTGTTTAAAAATTTATAAAAACAGTAAAATTGTCATTAGTTCCCTTATACCATTCTTAATTAGCCACTCTCCCGGATGGAGCTGGACACCCGTTGTAATTTATTGGTAGATCACTGGTCCATCTGGGATCTCAGGAGAAGCGTGGGATAAATAGGTATAACAGTGGAGAAACCTCAGTCCTGCGGCCACCAAGCAATATAACAGCTTACTGAAGCTCAGGGAGCATATACAGGAGAGGGAGATCACATGCACAGAGATGCCATAGCACGTTGCCTTCCACATTCCCTGGACATGGATCTACATTGCTTTAGCCTGCATACAAATATCCTTGAGCAGTTATTGTTTGCCCTGGTGCTTCCAATGTATCACTTGTTTCCCTTTATTTAAAAAGAAGGCAAGGCAGTACATTAGTCAAACTTTCAAAACTCCAGGTTATTCTCAAGTAAAGAAGTTTACATTGTACATGTACATTTAGTGTAACTGAGGTATATGTCACAGAAACAGAGGTCAGTTCTATTTTAGCAACCTGGAATGTATAACAGATGTGCTGCCTATTCCAGGTCCATATGGTACCTCTTGCTCCATCCACTTTTTATTTGTATTTGGAAAGGGTATGGGAAGGGGGAAAGGCCGTCCTAACTATAGAGTGAAAGATTATGTTACAATCTCATAAACAAATAAAAAGGAGAAGGGGGTCTAAGATTAAGAGAGTGGGAAACGGAAGTGGCAGGTCAGGGAAGGATGAGAAGGGGAGAAAAGAAAATAGCAGGTCGGTGGAAAGGGGTAAGGCACAGGTGAAAAGGGGGTGAGGGAGGCTTCACAGTTTTTAAAAGGGTGTCTGTAGCATGTTTGGGCAGGTGATTGAGGTGAAGTAGGTAGGGCAGCAGGGTTCTGTGAATGTTATACCATCTGGACAAGATCTTAAACCTTGAGTGTATTTTATTCGCTATAGAAGTGCCATGGAATAAATTAAGAACACCAGTATCGGTGCATCCCTAATTAATATGCTATTCCTTATGATCCAGGAAAAGGTATCCGTGCCCCAATTCTACAGGTCCCATTTGATCATTTGGAAGGAAAAAAGTGAAGGGTGAAAATATCCACAACAGGGCAAGTTTGACACCTAAATATGTAATATATGTCGAGGCCCACTTCATTAGAAAACTTTGCTGCAGGATGTTGGCTGGAATATTACTGTTAAGGGACAATGATTTTGAGAGCCAATGATTTTGAGAGGTTCGGCTTAAAGTTTAAAAGGTGGCCCATAGTCTTCCACTGTCCTCAATAGATTAGATCAGTTTCGGGAAGGGTAATAAATAGGGATGCACCGATATATCGGCCCCCGAAACATATCGGCCGAAAATGGCACTTTGGCTATATGCCGAAAGTGCAATTTTCCTGCCGATACATCGGCGCATGCGTGATTTCTTTCCTCCCCGCTGGGCGCTGCTATGTGTGTCTCAGCGTGGAGGAGAGAAAGTGACAGCCGGCCAAGCGCTGTGAGCGGCCGGTGTCTCTCCTCCCACACCACTTGGCCGCCTATCACAGTGCGGCAGAGCTGTGTAGGGGCGGAGACAGCGCTGTCACAGGAGGCTGGGCTCTCCTCTTGCACCGCTCACTCAGGGTGTGTCAGAGAGTAGAGCGGTACAAACACTCAGTGATCAGTGATCGCTGAGTGTTTGTAGATAATTGAGTATATGGTATGGTTACTATATCCTCAATTATGAATGAATGGGAAGTGATCTATATCCACTCCTGTTCATTCATAATTGTGGTTATAGTAAACATACTATAAATTTTTAAATTTCTATTTCGATGCACCATTAGTAGCAACAAGTCATCAGTAAAATCTGCCACCATTTGAGTAGCGGGAGCGGTGGTTACCCCTTTGATGTTAGGGATGGAGTGGGTGCGGCTCTAGGAAGAGAATGAAGATTAAGAGATAGCAGGCAGCCCTTTCCAGTCCCATTGTTCAACTTGAAATAGTCAGAGGAGGACACATTTACTTTGATGCTGAGGGGTGGGCATATATTGGTTCATTATAGGTATACATGCTCCCTTCCAATGAGACATGACCAATCAAACCTGTCAAACGCCTTTCTAGCATCAGTAGACAACAAGATAGTAGGGGTCTTCGTAGTTCGCTCCATGTGGATAAGGTTGAAGGTGCTAGTGGTATTATCTTTTGTTTCTTGATACAGCATAAAGCACACTTGGTCTAAATAGATAAGGGTTTTAACATAAGGTAATAATCTGTTAGCCAGAATTTTAGTGAAGATATAGAGATCTTATGACCTAGTGGCTTTTGTGGTTAGCCAGAGCAAAGTATTGTGAGGTGTTATGGAGCCTATCCTGATAATGAGCTAAAAAGGCCTGAACAATCTCACACAACTTCTTAGTCCTATTACCATGCTTAGTCTCTGTGTAAAGAATATAGATCCTCAATCTCTCCTCTCCAAGTGTTTATGTTATAATTTTCCCTGGCATATTTTCAAATTCATACCAGGTCCTGCAACTTTTGACCTGTTGGGCCTTAATTTTGTGCAACTGGATGCTGTTTAACCGGTCAAAGAGGAGTTACTACTGCTACAGTGTGAGCCAAAGATTATTTGTGTGGCGCATATTTGGTCCATTATGGAGATTGTTGCAAATCTCTCCCTCTCTGTAGACGGGTTCCCTGTTGGATCAGAAGGCCCTGCATTACATATATATGCGATTTCCATGTGATTAGGAATGGTGTGGACTGAGTATCAAATTCCAGGAGAAACCTATCAAGTTCCTTCCCCAGGAGTGTTTGTACATCTGGTTCATGCAGAAGGGGCTCTGCAGAACTTGGTCTTAGGAGGCATTTCCCCAAAACCTAGGGAGACAGAAACAGGTATGTTGTCTGAAATAAACACGGTTTCAGTTTCTGGGAGGCAGGCCTTCTACAGGTCATTCTGATGGACAAAAAGATTCTATGGTTCTATGAGGGGCAGAATATTGTGTGTAATATCTGGAGTCTGTGTGTAGCGTGTAGCAAATATCCTCCCATCATGGGCAAGAAGATGTCATTTGAATGGTTTAAAGCAGAACTCTGGGCAAATCAAATCTCAACCCTTGCAGTGGGGCTACCCCCACACTGCACGGGTTAACTGCTTGTTTTATCAAGGGAGCTAAAATAAAAAAGTTATTCTCCCCCAAACCATGATCCCGGCTTGCTCTTAGACCGGTTCTTACACTGGAGTCAC